ATACCATACAGGGAGTTCCTGGACACATGTTTTAGACTATTTTATAATCTTGGAGTAACTGATCTTTGACTCCACGACATCAGCCTATAAACTCTCATGTAAAGCAATTCAGGGAGGCTACCTCCTGACATTCTGTTTTGCCATATAGTGAAACAGAAAACAGCCCAATCTTTCAAGTCAGAGTGGATTTGCCTTCAAAATCCCATTGTGTGCAGGGTCTTAATTGCTTAGAACTTAAGTTTGCTTTTCTCTAAAACAGGAGCATTACCTCCTACTGACATGGCTGGCTTGAGGATTTGAGTGGTAAAGCACTGAAAGGGTGTGTATGCGTATAGCAGCGGGCTCCATAAATGCCAGTTTCCTCCTCTTTGTTGACACAAAGGGAGCAGAATGTTCTGGAAGGAGCTTTCTACCTCCTTTAGCGAGAGCACATCATACGACTGCCCTTTCCTTTTCATCCCGTCTTTCCTCAAATGTTAATAGTTATGACCTGCAGGTTACATGTGCGTGCCGGTGAGAGAGACACGGAAGAGGGCCGATCCCGGCCTCCAGGAGTGTGTCTTTCTGCCGAGGCACCTGACACATCACTAAGGTACAGTGTGGTGAGGCCTGTGAAAGACAGTTGTTTAGGGACGCGAAGAGGAAACCATGCTGGTGCTCTGAGTTGAAAGAGAGAAAGCATTGGGACAGTCAGGCAAAGCTTCAGAGAAGCTGGGACATTTCATCAGAACACTAAGGAGTGAGTGGAAGATGGCAGAGAGATGGGGAAAGGCAGCCTAAATGAGTCAGAAAAAACAACGTCCGCAGAGAAGCAGCAGCACAAAGGTTCTGGAGACGGCTGGCTGCTCTTTGGGTGAGACTTGGCAGAGGGCCATCATGGCACGCTTGCAAGTTCATCCGCTGTGAGGGATCCTTCAACATTTCCGTCCCAGGACAATTACTCTTAGCCCAGATCCCACCCCGAGACCCATTTTCTCTTGTCTGCTCTCCGTTCCTCTTTAGCCCTTTTCTTCTACTCTGCTTCTTGCCCCCCTTGACAAGATATGGATTGACTTTCCCAGTCCTGTATCTTCTAGTCCAGGAAGGCAAGCTCTTTTTCTTTACAGGATTTTACTTATGCTCTCTCTGAGGAAACAGGGTAACTGAAATAATGAGCCTGAGAACGTTGAACGAGTCCCAGAATCTTTCAAAGTTCTTGAAGTCATGTCTCTGATCCTTCCTCTCACAGAAGCTGGTAGCAGGTTTACCTCCTGTCCTCGTGTCTGTGGGGCTGAATATAGCCCTTCTTCCTCCTAACCCTGTAAAGGACCGTGTGACTCCTGCCTCTGTGAAGGTCCTTCTTTCTAGTATGTTGTCACAAAGAACACAATGGGATGGAACGCTAATGATAACAGTAAGCATCATCCTTATGAGACAATTTGTAGTTTGTTGTGTTTTTTTTTTTTTTTGCGGTACGCGGGCCTCTCACTGTTGTGGCCTCTCCCGTTGCGGAGCGCAGGCTCCGGACCCGCAGGCTCAGCGGCCATGGCTCACGGGCCCAGCCGCTCCACGGCATGTGGGATCTTCCCGGACCGGGGCACGAACCCGCGTCCCCTGCATCGGCAGGCGGACTCTCAACCACTGCGCCACCAGGGAAGCCCATAAACTGCCTTTTTTTAAACCAGACTTTCCTCTCCCACCCAGCAAATGCACTTCCCCGCCCCTATTTCTTGTGTCGTAAGCAGCATCACCTTCCACCCTGTGGCCCAGGACAGAAAGGTTGATTTGTCCAGCTCCTCGTCCCCACATCCAGTCCATCACCAAGTCCTGTTAGTTCTTTCCCTTAAATCTCTCTTAAATACATTCATTTCTCTCTGCTCCTTACTTTAAGCCACCTTCATCTCCTGCCTGAGCTTTCTAAGGAATTTCCAAGTGGCTTTCCTTTGCTTTCAGTCTTGCTCTCTGCCAGATCATTTCACCAGAGTGATTTTCCAAAAATGAAGATCTGATCCTATTACTCCTCTGCTTCAGTGGCCTTTTGGTGCTTTCAGGAAGCGGTCCAAACGCTTTTACGTGGCTTCCAAGACTTCCAGAGCTAGACCCTGCCTCCTGCTCTAGCCTCCCTTCTCACCCTTCCTCATTCTTGCTGCTTGACATCCCTCAGACCTGTCCAGCTCTCCAGCTCACTAGTACCCACAAGTCTTTACACATACGGTTCTCCCTTCCTGGAACACTTCTCTTTCTGCTCCTTCCTTTACCTCTTTAATTCCTTGATATTTCAACTGAAATATCACTGTGCATAGTGGGGCTTCCTGAGCCCTTAGGTAAGTCTTCAAGCCTTTTGGATGTCCCACAGCAGAACACTTATCACATGTATATCTATTATGTTTGCTTAATTGTCTGTGTTTCCTACTAGATTGTAAGCTATGAGTGTGGCTCAGGGGCTGTGTAGCTATTTTATTTACCGTTGTATCCTACTCAGCTAGTGCAGTACCTATAACAAGGGAGGAAGGAGAGGAGAGAGAGAAAGAGAGAGGGAGAGGGAGAGGGAGAGGGAGAGGAAAGAAAGAAGAAAGAAAGAAAAAGAAAGAAGGAAGGAAAGAAAGAAAGAAAGAAAGAAGGAAGGAAAGAAAGGAGGGAGGGAGGAAGGAAGGAAAGAAAGAAAGAAAGGGAGAGAGAAAGAGTGAGAGAGAGTGGGAGGGAGAGAGGAAGGAAAGAAGAAAGAAAGAGTGAATGAAAGAAAGAAAGGGAGGGAAGGAGGAAAGAAGGAAGGAAGGAAAAACGTTTTTCAAATAGAGACTACAAAGATTCTAGTGACAGTTTGAATGAGATCAGGGAAAAGATAGACAAAAACATTCCGAGATTCATTCATTGAGCAGCTGGGTACATGACAATACTGTTATATTGGGGTTAAGAAAAAAGAAGAGTAAGTCTGGGTGGAAGCATAATGAGTTTAGTATGAACATCTGGTGCAGAAGTTCAGTTGACAATTAGGAATAGGGAATCTCATCTCAGCTAGAGCTTAGGAAAGAAGTGTGAGCCATATATGATGACTGAAGTCAAGGGAGTGGGAGGGAGTGGGTGAGATTCCCAGAGACGGTATATGGAACTAGAAGATGTCTGAGGTTGGAGTTCTGAAGACCCTAACCTTTGTTAAAAACAAGACAACTGGCCCCAGATGGAGTCACCTATGCTAAATCCTACGTCACAAAACCCAGACTTAACTAGGTAACCGTTTCAGCCTCTCCCAGAAATGGAATCTTAAACCAGTCAATGAGGAATCACTGGTCAGCACTAGTGAGGTCATTTGCCTGATAGACCCCCTGCATTCCCCTAAAGGAAAGTGACCTTGTCCCAACCTAGTATAACAATTTTGCTAGTATAACTTCCTTGTCCTGCTCCCTTCTGCCTATAAAAGTCTTTCATTTTGTACAGCTCCTCAGAGCTCCTTTCTATCTGCTAGATGGGATGCTGCCCAATACATGAATCACTGAATAAAGTCAATATGCTCTTTAGGGGCTCCCCTGGTGGTGCAGCGGTTAAGAATCCGCCTGCCAGTGTAGGGGACACAGGTTCGAGCCCTGGTCTGGGAAGATCCCACATGCCGCAGAGCAACTGAGCCCGCGCACCACAGCTACTGAGCCCACGAACCAAAACTACTGAGCCTGCACGCCTAGAGCCTGTGCTCTGCAGCAAGAGAAACCCCCGCTCGCCACAACTAGAGAAAGCCTGCGCACAGCAACGAAGACCCAACGCAGCCAAAAATAAATAAATAAATTTACTTAAAAAAAAAGATCTTTAAAATTTACTCAGTTGAATTTTTTCTTTAAACGCATTTAAAGCAGACACAGCAAAAGAGCTTCTTAGTGGCAGCTTGGGACTTCACATTGCTTTGTCCTACATTCGTGGGCCTTGTAAGCTCCTGAAACAGTGCTCAGGAGGAGTTTGAAAAGGCATGGCTGATTCTGTAATCTTGCAAGTGGGGAGGGAGCAGGACCTCCCCATAGTAGTTTTTCATGACTTGTTTCTTTCAAGAAATCCTTTGTATTTCTGACATTACAATGCATTTATGATATATGTTTTTCTCTAGGTTTCTTGAACAGAGCTGATATATCAACACACATTTTACTCAGCTGAATTTATTTACTTAAAATTTTACGTTGATTGCGACATGCCATTTAAAGCCCACATGGCTATTTTACCGTACATTCGAATGTGAACATTATAAGAAATCAATGTGTTATTTATTGCTGGAACATACGTTACAGAACTCAGCTTTTTTAACTACTTCTACTCTTCCCACACAACCCACTTGTTAAAAGATTTACATCCCATTAATAGAGTATTCCACCTCTAAGTGAAGACTTTAAAATGGAGCAGTAACATGGGAATGGATTCCATTTTTAACAGTCTGTCCGCTATGAAAGGACAGCAACTCTCGCCATCAGTAAGTGGTAAGGAAATGAGGGCATTTCTAGGAAGAGCAGATACAGTTGAGACTTATTAATAAACTCTGGTTATAATTTTAGGTTTCCAAGGTTTTAAAGGACTAAAAAGTAGGATAAAAGGAGAAGAAATTAGTGTTTGATTAAAACAGAAGTACAGTATTGTATTTATCTTTATATAACTAAAACCACACTTCTGAAGAGCTGATTAGAAAAAATCATTGTTTTTACACTTATTTGATTTCCTTTAATGCCATTCTTCACATCTGAAATAGATAATATTCTGCTCTAATGTCTGCACTTCAGTGTAAAATTATAGAATAGAAAAAACAAGTCACAGAAGGTTAAAAATAATTATGAATATCCTTTTAAATAAGAACTTAGAGCTACTGTATTTAGAAGTAAAATTTTTTTTGAAAAAGCCTTTATGTCATAGAAGATGTGCTATATACGTTCACTCGTTCGGTTTTCCTTAACAATAAGCTAAAACAATAAGTAGGTTTTGGTAAGAGATTCTTCTGGTTTGTTTTACCTCCAGACAAAAGTTACTTTTAATGCTTCTTTGTGTAATTACAGGGTGTAGGAAAGAACAAGATTGTTGATAGATTCCTTCACCTGCTCAACAGACCTCGAGAATATATCCAGCTGCACAGGTAAGAGGATAAAACCCACAATCTCTTAAGATCTGGTTTAGTCATTTATTTTGCTCCCAGTACAATTTAAAAATACTTTCTTAAAGGCCCATTTTTAATATACCAGTTTAATTTCTGTTCCTCCTACTGTTATCTCTCCTCTCCTTAAAAGGTAATAAACCCATGCAAAATTTATTTTTAAAGTTACTAATGCTTTATAAACATGAATTAATAGATATTTTGTGGACAAAGAGTGATGAACATTACATTCAGGAAGCAGTTTTCATCAACATAAAGGCTCCTAAATTAGAAGAAAAATATGTAGAGACTAAGCCCACTCTCTAACAGGAAGCTAAAATAGCTCACAAGGAGAAACATAAGCTATGTGAATCTCAGGTGTGAGATAAGGAAGGCAAAACTATGAAGCAGTAAGTTATTAGTCTCCTTGCCTTCCTTGATGTAGATTATTTAATTTTGCTTGGTTAGAATGCTGGTCCAGGGATAGCTTTTAATCAAATAGATTTTCTCAACATGGATTGTTTTTAGCTTTATCAATGAACCTGTTCTGAATATTTTAAAAATAAAATATAAGCAGCAGATCCACCAAAGGGGAGAGAGAAAAAAAAAATCAAGGAATATACCAAGTAATAAGCAACTTAAAAGTAGACTGAATTGTTATTGTTTTAATCCCAGGAAATTAACAAAAATATTGTGTAGTGGAAATAACACTGGATTGAGTTACAAGAATTGGTTTCTGGTTTGGATCCTTTCACTAAATAATGATGTGTTCTTGGAAGGAAAATGTAGGAGAAAAGAAGGTAGAGTTAGTGGACTAAAGGAGAAAGAGAAGAGGACCAAAGTGAAGCTGAGAGATGGTCAAAAACTCCTTCTTGGCATTTACACCTCTGGCTGTGATGGAGTAACTAATACCAGGTTAGTCCTACCACAGTAAAGAACTATAAAACTGGACAAGACTCACAAACACTGGGAAAGGAACAACCACTAGGGACTGGTGAGCTGAACAATTACCAGAGTTCCCACATGGTTAAGAGACTTCATTAAACTTACTCCTGGTATTCATAAGATATCCTGTAAAGTTTATGCTTTAGAAGTAGGACCAATCTGCCCCTAGAGTAAAAGCTACTTTATGCCTACCCTTAATAAGTTTAAAAATAACACTTGAAAAAACAAGGATGTTTGCTATTTAACCCTATTTTGTAAGTTTTTCTCATACAAAACGATTTTAAAAGTTAAGGGGATGTATGCTGGGGGAAAATGTTTTGAAAAAAATCAAGCTGACATGAATTAACTGCTTAGCTGAACAAACTTACCAAGCAATGAAAGAAGACTACAAAATCCAAACATTTAACAACAGAGCATTCACAATATGAAGCATTCAATAGAATATTACTAGGCATACAGATAAGCAGAAAATAGACCCCAAATGGTCAATAGAAATAGACCCTAAAATGACAGATGATAGAATTAGCAGACAAGGACTGTAAAACAGTTGCCTTAAATATGTTCAAGCATATAAAGGGCATATAAAGGGGGAATGAACATAATGAGGGAATAATTAGGAATTCTCAGTACAGAAATAGCAACCTTAAAAAATCAGTCTCACATATGGGCAATTAGAGTTTCAAAAAAAAAGGACAAAGAACGGGGCAGAGTAATATTTAAAGATGTAATGGTGAAAAAATTTCCAAATTTGATGAAAACATGAAGTCACCAATCCAGGAAGCTCAATGAACCTCTAGCAGGATAAGCAGGAAACCACAATAAAGTACATTATAATCAAATTGTTGAAAATTGAAAAGGAAATCTTTAAAGCTGCCAGTGAAAAAAAGACATATTACATATAGGAGGAAAATCATAAAAATGATGACTGACTTGTCATGAGAAATAAATACCACAAGTCAGTGAAATAGTTGTTTTTAAAGAGCCAAAAGAAGAAAAAAAAGTCAGTATACAATAGTATATCTGGCAAAACATTCTTTAGAAATGCAGACATTCTTGGTTGAACAAAACAGTATTTTTTACTAGCAAACCTGCATAATATAAGAAAATTACAGTTCAGTATTAACCATGAGCATAGATACAAAAATCCTTAACAAGTATTAAATCAAATTCAACAATATATAAAAAGGATAATACATCATAACCAAGCTGGTTTTATCCCAGGAATATAAAGTTGGTTTAACATTTGAAATCAAATAATTTAATTCACTCTATTTACAGCATAAAGGAAAAGCCATATGATCATTTCAGTCATTGCCAAAAAACAAACAAACAAACAAAAACACTTGATGAGATGCAGTGCTTATTCATGATAAAATGTTACAGCAAATTACAAATAGCAGGAAACTCCCTCAACCTGTTAAGAGGCTTCTATGGAAAACCTATAACTAACTTATATTTAATGGTAAAAAAAAAAAAACAACTAAATACTTTCCTCCTATGATTGAGGAAAAGGCAAGGATATTCACTTTTCATCATTATGCTAGAGGTCCTAGCCAGTGCAGTAAGGCAAGAAAAAGTAATAAATGGTACATATGTTTAAACAGAAGAAGTAAAATTGTCTAGAGACAACATGATTGTGTATATTAAAAACCCTAAGAAATCAAAAAAAAAAGAAAAAACTATCAGGACTAAAAAGTAAATTGAGCTAGGTCACAGGATACAAGGTCAACGTACAGAATCAGTTGCATTCCTATCTAATTGCAATGGACAATGGGAAAATTAAAATATTTAGATACCTTTTATAATAGCATAAAAACATGAAATACTTAGGAATAAATTTAACAAAATTTGTACAAATTTTAATTTACTAATCTTAATAGGGCATGGCAAGCTCATCTCAACTCCTAAACTTCTATAGCTCACCTAATACATAGCTTCAGAAAATTTCTAGCCTATTCCCATATCATCTCACAGTTCTTCTTTATATGAATTACGCCTTATGTAAACCTAGGAATTTCAACTTACCTTTTTTCTTTTTTTAAGAATTTACTATGTCAAGATTACAGGACTAGGTGTTTTAGGAGATATGGAAAGAAATAAGAAACATAATCTCTATCTTTAAGGAGCTGTAATACTGTTCTTGTTTGTGATTATTTCAGTCTTTCATGTTCCACTTAATCTAAAAAAAAACTTTTTTTCCTCACCTTTAAGCCTTTCCACCAGTTTTTTTTCCTACATGAACAAAGTTTGGGGGAAATAATGAAAGAATCAAAATGTTTGCTAGTTTCACCTGAATAACTTACTTGCAACATATCACAGTTCCAGTTTTTGAGCCACAAGACACGCGGCAAGACCCATATTTTATGTTTTAAGGATGATACAGTGAGCATTGCAGTTATTCATTCTTATTTGTGCTATTTTATCTCTTTCATTTTGGTTTCATTGTGTTTAGTCTGTACTGTTTAGTAGTGCTCTTAAAAGTACGTAATTACTTGAAAGTTTTAATGAAGCGTATACTAATGCCACTTATAAATTAGAGCCAAGACAAATGAATTTAAATTTTATATTTTAAAATAATCAAGCAGAAAACCAACTTTTCTCTTAAGGATGACTTCAGAGGTTGAAATCAGCTCTCAAATTTATGCTCAGAAATATGGAAGTCACTTTATATGAGGGTCCCTTTGTATGGTGAGGCAGTTTTTAGATTTCTGTATATTGGACATTAGAATATTTTTAAAGAAAGATACATTAGGCTGAGCTAGCTCAATTAATTCTGACTGTAGATTATGAAGGTTAGTTAATACAAGCAGCAAGAAAGGAAGCAAAGAAATGTAACATGTACTTAGTAATTATTCTTGGGTCTGTGTCACCATCACATTCATTGTAAACAGGCCTTTTGCTTATAATTCATTATCTTTAATAGTTACAGCCCTCAGAATGGGAGAAAATATTTGCAAATGAATCAACTGACAAAGGATTAATCTCCAAAATTTACAAGCAGCTCATGCAGCTTAATAAAAAAAAAGCAAACAACCCAATCCAAAAATGGGCAAAAGACCTAAATAGACATTTCTCCAAGGAAGATATACAGATTGCCAACAAACACATGAAAGAATGCTCAACATCATTAATCATTAGAGAAATGCAAATCAAAACTACAATGAGATATCATCTCACACCGGTCAGAATGGCCATCATCAAAAAATCTAGAAACAGTAAATGCTGGAGAGGGTGTGGAGAAAAGGGAACACTCTTGCACTGTTGGTGGGAATGTAAATTGATACAGCCACTATGGAGAACAGTATGGAGATTCCTTCAAAAACTAAAAATAGAACTACCATACGACCCAGCAATCCCACTACTGGGCATATACCCTGAGAAAACCTTAATTCAAAAAGAGTACCAAAATGTTCATTCAGCTCTATTTACAATAGCATAGCACAGGGAGATCAGCTAGGTGGTTTGTGACCGCCTAGAGAGGTGGGATAGGGAGGGTGGGAGGGAGGGAGATGCAAGAGGGAAGAGATATGGGAACATATGTATAACTGATTCACTTTGTTATAAAGCAGAAACTAACATACCATTATAAAGCAATTATACTCCAATAAAAGTGTTAAAAAAAGAGAAGTTTTAATAAATCTTATTTTTCTAGGGATTATTCCTTGTCTTCTAATTATTGGCATAAAGTTGTTTATAATACCACTTTATGATATTTCAATGTCCTTAGGCCCAGAAATGATATTATCATTTTTATTCGTGGTATTGGTTTTTTGCCTTCTCTCTGTTTTTCATGATCAGTTTTGCCAGGAGTTATCAGTATTATTGGTCTGTTCAAGCAACCAGCTTTTGGCACTGTTGAATGTCTCTTTTGTATGTTTCTTTTATATTTCAATAATTTCTGATTTTATCTTTATTATGCCCTTTCTTTTATTTTCTTTGGATTTAAAATGCTGTTTATTTTTAAACTTTTTTATATGAATGATTAATTGATTTTCAACCTTTATATGTGTTTGAGGCTGTCTATATTTGAAACTCTTTTTGAGTCTTGGTTTTCTCAT